AATTAATTAATTTTGTTTAGTGCGAAAGTGTAATCTGATCCGGCAAAAATATATTAATCACCACTATTCAACACATGTCTGGTCATTGGAAATATAAAGACAGTCATTAATTGTACATCTGTAAACATCCAAGATATAAAATCAATGCAAAGTTCATCTTTGTACGAGAGCTGGAAGAACGTGTCCTTCAGTCTTTCTGACTCGTTCTCCTCCTCTCTTTATGACAAAGAGTGGTAACCGTGACTGAGGTTACCACATGTAAAGCTAGTCACTGACAACGCCACCTCCTGCTAAGGGGCAGGAGGAACCCGTGGACCCTAAATGTAAGTCGTGGAATAATTTTAAAGCTTCCCTAAATGGGTTCAATTATTACAGAGGCATGAATTTCAAATACCTAACACAGCTTTATTTAACAAGTGTTTGGAAACTGTTTAAAATGTCAATTCATGTAAAGTATACAAATGGCAAATACAATTCAACACGTATATAAGTTACCCTCCTCAGTTGGGCAGGCCCGGTCCGCTGGGTTGCAGTGCCTGCTAATCGTGAGGGACAAAAACAAGAAAAGCCACACACCAAAACAACAAAAGCATGCAATATTTAAAGGCATCCTGATACTGTAGATTAGCACTGAGGTGCTGATTGGCTCAAAACTCTTCTTCATCAGAGCGCCATATTTCAACCCCCCAATTGCTCTGCTTTTGTGTGGCTCATTAGTGAGCACTGTAGTTGATCCCCCAGTGAAACGGAGGCTCATCTGCCTGCATTCCTTCTGCTATCTGCTTGAGAGCAGTGCCAGACAAAACTGCGTATTCCAAGTGTCGCATCCAGGTCTCCCCCCGTGATGGGAGAGGTTAGGAAGTGTTATCTGTGTTGGTTATTCTCGCGTCCAGGAGAGAAGCTTAAAAAGGAGACTAAATGGAGTCTCTGAGATGGTTTCAAATTGGTACTTTAATTTAAAAATAATGGCACGGTTATGTTCACAAACAGAATATTGTTCGGACAGAAAAGCAGCTGTCCTCTGGCTCTCGCTAGCAGAGAAAAAGAGGCCGAACCCCTCAGGTCTCGCTGTTTATATATCCTCTGCTGGCTCCTCCCTGCGGGCCGGCTCTCCAACGTTTTAATGTCCGTTGTTACGCATATCAGAGGATACAGACATTCAATATATATCTAAACACTCCTTTTCTCTTCCTTAACTCTTTCATGACTTTTCATTTAACACATTCTAAACGCTGTAATCAATACTCCAAAAATACAGGAAATACTTCACAGCAGTTTGGTTTCCGGTCGTTCCGAATGTTGTCACATGCTACCCATATCTGTAAACAATAACGTACTCAAATAAACTGTACCTTCATTTAATATCCAACAATAATATCTCGCCGTCTATAGTTGTATTGTTGAAATCAGTAGGTTTCGGTGTGCAACATCATATCATATCGCTGCTAAATTCACCTCTATAGTAAATGGTATATTAGCCTCATGCTAACCGGAGATGAAGGATTTTCAGAATAAAAGCTTAACAACTGGTTGTGCACAAGAACTTCTGGTTTTTCAGTATAAAACAGCATTTAAACTGACGGTATGTTTAAGGTGCATTATGCTATCAAAACATTGATTTTCATTTCTAACAGAAGACATCTGCTCCTCCAAGAAACAAGGAACCTTGTATGAAGCCTCTGAAGTCCTCGCTCGTCCCGCAGGGTTGTCTGCCTGAGCCCACCGAGCAGAATGGTGAAGAAGCATCCCATCTCCTCAGATAGTTGAAGATTAGAATCCTCTCATCTCGAACGATCTCGTGCCTCCTTGCCCCTGGCTGGGGGTACCCTCTGCAGCCCGAGAGTGTGACCCTCTCTCTCTGACCCTTGGCCTTCAGAGCTGTCCTAGTTATTGGGTTAACACTTGGTAGGGATGTTTTCCTGAGTGCAGACAACTCAAAGTAATGGATTAGCACATTATCATTTAATTACAAAAATAGGATAGGCCCCCTCAGAATGATTTGGGAGCCTTCCTAACACATGCACATGCATAAATGTAAGGTTTGTGTTAGTCATTTAACATGCAAGAATCATATACTCATCAGTCCAAAGTAGAGAAATGTTATTGTAATTTAAAGGTGAGCTAGTCCCTGGATATAACCCCTTCTCAATGATTCCAAATGTTATATTAATTCACCATTTACCGTTTGATAAAAGATTAGTTTATCAGAAATATTTTCCTCTTCCATAAAACAGGTTTGAGAAATAAATGTTCCAATATAAAATCAATTACTCAATATAATTCACTCTTCCCTCCCTTTTCTTACATATGTCTCATATGAAATAATAACTTAGGAGTCTATTTAAGCATGGTGTAATCTATTACTCGAGAAGACTCAGTATCACCTGTGTGCAGCTTACAAAAACTATTGTGAGAAACATAGATTATGCAGGAAATGTATACTTTTGTTGAAGAACAAAGCATATCTGATTTGGGAGTAAAAACGTCATCCCTTTAACATCTGTGTTATCACTAAAGGCATAGCATAAATGATAGTGGGTGTCTGAGGGTGTCACTACTGAGAAATGTCAAACAAATTCAAAACCTGACATTTGAAAACAGGTTTGCATTCCTCCACTTAAAGTGACGTTATCATTGGAAACAATAAAAGCTAATTGTTTTTGATGTAGAATCTATCAATTGAATCGTGAGAGCAGAACAGAATGGTCGTATTGTAGCCTGAGTACCGTGCAGCCTTTAGTTTTACCAGGTGGAAACATTGTCCATATAATGTGAATACATGTAGAACTAAGAGGCCCCTGACATTAGGCCTATTTTTAAAAATAGTAGGGGCTTTTAACAGCTTGCCAACCTACAGGCATCCTCTGCATAGCAGTATGAATAGCCTTAAAAAAAAAAAAACCCACTCTGCGGTAACGAGAGTCATGTGTCTGACCCAAATGCCCTAAGTGAAGCTGTTAGTCCCATCCGACTGACCCAAGGGTTGGTGCTGGTGTGGCGGGGAGGCTTCCAGGTGTTCAAAGCAGATGTCAAGCTTTTAGTTCATGGCTCGGTGGGGGGAGCAGACCCACGTGAGACAGTATCAACGGCTTTAATGTTCAGTTTGAGGAGCTTCATTGTCTCTGGGAGCAGGGAATGGTGTCCATTCTCGGACCAGACCATTAATGTCATGTAGAGCAGCCATAGCTTCTCTGTGACTGCACTCAGCCGGACTGTAGCGGGGTAGAACTGGGTGACTCTTATACCTCATTCACACCAACGGTGTTTCAGGGCCGGTTCGGAGCTGGAGCTTGAAAAGCACCGGGTGTTCCTCTTCACACCGCAGCGGAGCAGCCTCTTAGCTCCGGAATCCGGTTCGTTTCAAGCACCAAAAAATTGTCCGGCCAGAGCAAAAGCACTGCATACGTCACGCTTACGTCGAGGCGGGGGCAGGGGCAGAAGCGGGATCAACTCCTGAACAACAACAAAAAGCCGGTGTTGTATCCAGTTTGTACACAACGATGGAGAAACTTAACAAGCAGCAGTGGTCCACTGAATAGACCAGCTACCTACTGGGAATCTGGTCTTCCGAAGAGGTACAGAGGAAGCTGGAGCACAATCGGCCATTGTTGTTGTTGTCGGTGTCAGCTGTGAGGGGTTTTTGCGCGGTTTGGCTTTATGAAGCAGGCACGCAAACGGTTACGTCATGACGCAAACGATGACGCAATGACGCAGCACCAGTCGGACTCTGGGCAGTGTGAAAAGAGCCAGAGCTAAACCGAAGAACCGGTTCTGAACCTGAAAAGCTCTAGCACGGAGCTTGAACCGGAGTTGCGTTGGTGTGAATGAGGTATCAGTGAAGCCGTCCAAGGCCATAGACAAAATGGAACCACGTACTAACAAAAGGGACACAAGGTCATCAATGTCTCTCTTTACCATTGGCCTAATTGCACAATAAATGAGTGGGGAAAAGAAATGTGGAACACTAATCCATCATGTGAAATGTTGAGTTAATCTAAATAATTACTTATGGGTTGAAATCAAATTATTGGGGGGTTGAAATCAAATTAACATTAGAACTAAAGTCAGTCAAAATTGGACTTGCACAGATCAGAATCTAAGCAATACACCATTTCCCCAGCTCTGTAATGAAAAGGATAACAAGATTAGGTACATTACGGGAGTGTTAAAACACCCAAACATGCACACTTATCTTATTCTAGTAGAGATTTAGAGAACAAGGTCTAATGTTGTGAACAAAATGAAGTTATTTTATTTATTCTATGTTATGTACCTAATTTAATTTAATAATTAATCTTGAATTACTAATAACTTTAAAGAAGGCAACAATTTACAATTTGGATGAAGTGATTACTCATCCTGTGTGGTGTGTGTGTGTGTGTGTGTGTGTGTGTGTGTGGTGTGTGTGTGTGTGTGTGTGTGTGTGTGTGTGTGTGTGTGTGTGTGTGTGTGTGTGTGTGTGTGTGTGTGTGTGTGTGTGTGTGTGTGTGTGTGTGTGTGTGTGTGTGTGGTGTGTGTGTGTGTGTGTGTGTGTGTGTGTGTGTGTGTGTGTGTGTGTGTGTGTGTGTGTGTGTGTGTGTGTGTGTGTGTGTGTGTGCAAATACGAGGCAACTGCCCGAAAGCAGTATGAAGGAGTACAAAGTCTGCACCACCAGGGTTTCAGCTGTAAAGACAGCGGGCTTTGGCTGAACCCTCAATGGCCATACATGGGAGCGTCGCCAGACGGAGGTGTCACATGCACCTGCCATGGAACTGGTATCTGTGAGATAAAGGTAAGTTATTTGTTCAGTATTGTGCTACAGTAAAGCGGGTAAGTATAGGATTGTGACGTGATCCTGAGTCTGGGGATCCTCTCCCAATACATTTTGAGCTGCAGACACTTATTTACAGTACAATATATTACTTTTCTTTTCATTGAACTTTTAGTGCCCACACAGCAAACAAGAGGAGGCCAATCTTCGCCTGTGTGCTGGAGAACAGGGCTTCTGTCTCGTCAACGATGGGGGGCACTGTGAAGCTGGACAGGAGACATGCCTACTACCATCAAATACAGGCTCAGCTCCACCTCGTTGATGTTGACTACTGCGACTTTGTTGTCTGGACTAAAAATGACCTCTTTGTAGAGAGAATTGTGCGTGATGTGGACCTGTGGGACAACATCATTCCCAGAGTTGAGCGTTTCTTCAGACTATGTGTTCTCCCTGAAGTGTTGGGACAGTAACTTACAAGGGGAAAGGTAAAAGTCATAAAGAGTTGGTGTGCTCATTTTTTTCCACAAGAACATGTTAGTGCATAACTATCAGGTGACTAAAAGCCTCCTCTCCCTGTCTGCGGTTCCATTTTTCAGTTTCAGTTGCAAGATGATCAGGAGGGAGAGAAGGCGTGATTACCAGCACCTGTGGTCTGTCCTGGTCCCGGAAGTTGTGGTTCTCTCCTTGTTGCATTATTATTACGTGCCGTAGTGGGTGCTGGTGTTTGGGTGTGTGTGGGTGTCTTTTTCTCTCTCCCTCTGATCTCCCCAGGTGCTCCCAATCTCCAATCAGCGCCTCCATATAGGACATGAGGAAGGTTGCAGTCGCTCTCCCCTTATCTTAAGCTTTGTTTGACAAGTTGGCTGGTGAGCCCTTTTTCGTTGTGTTAATTAAAAGACCACTTTATGGCGTCAGAGATCAGTTTCCTCTCCTTTTTCTCTCGGCCGGTTATGTTGTGTGTCGCTACTTCCTTTTGTACCCCTATATTTACAAGGGAACGTAACATTTGCACAGTGGCAGCTCTTTAACCTGCATTATAGCACCTTCATATTCACTGACCACACTCACTAGAGGAAGTAGGGCTGTGTGATATATTGCTATTGTAAAAAAGATGTTTACTGAAAAGATTAAATGATACTAAGACTGAATAATACATGGTTTCTTATTTACATTTACAATAAACTCAATGGCCATACATGGGAGCGTCACCAGACCAATTGTCATCTCTAGAATATTGTTGAATGAATTAAGCCTGAATGTAGATGAAAGTTGTATATTGAGTAGGGCTACACAATTTTCAACACAAAAATATGTTTACTGAAAAGACTTGAACACAAGATGTTTGAACACAAAAAGATGTTTACTGAAAAGATTAAATGATACTGAATAATACATGGTTTCTTATTTACAAGACTACAGCTCCATGACTTTACTCCAATGGGACGACAGACACTGACAGATTAGACAAGGCACAGCAAATAACCCCAATCTTGTCAATTAATGCTAGTGCCTCACCTGGTTTTGTTAGCATGTGCTCTATGGGCACAGCCCTGCTTTGCAGAATCTGATATTTTCTTCTGACTAATCCTATGACTCTTTCAACATGAATACGCACATTAGCTATTTTTCTTGTCTCTTCCACCTCGTATGCTGACAGCTGACTTTTCCCCCTGGTGAATGCAGGCATCTTTAGTGAAGCACAGTAAAATCCCACACTATCGGCAATATCGAACCCACGGTCTGCTAGGACAATATCTCCAGGTAACAGGTTTTTTAGGAGCCCACTCTGTATTGTGATCTGTTTATCACTAACTCTTCCTCCCCAGGCACAAGATATGTAGGTAACATAGCCTTGGGGAGCTACACCAATCAGAAATGTAACAGTATGGTGATGCTTGTAGTTGGACCATGTTTGTGCTCTAGCTAGTAAATTAGAGGGCCTCTCAATAAAAACTTCAAAACAGTCAACAATCACAGCAACTCTACATCCAAATACCTGTCTGAATCCCATTGGCATTGTAGCTTGAAGTACATGTCGCTCTGGCCACTCAATTATAAATTCTGTACTCTCGTGAAGTATGTCAATTAACTTATGCCAAATTCTAGAAGCAGTGGAGAGAGAGATGTTGAACCTGAAAGCCAAATCTTTCAGAGGGAGATTTAGTCTCAGCCTCAGCAAAACTAAAATGAACTGTTCAAATTTGGAGAGCACAGACATAGGGCCACAGGTGATGTAGGGCTCGCACAGTTGAAAAACCTGAAGTAAAACTAAGAAGTTGGGGAGCCCGGTGTAAAACTTTGTCTTCTCTTCGTTGTTCTCAAAGGACTCCTGGTTGAACTTTGTGTCCAGAGCCTTTGTCCGAAGATCTCCCAGCTCTGTTGTGTTCTGTCTCAGAACATCGTCCATCCTCTCGATGTCCTCCATCGTTAAATCAGTCTGGCATCCTGCATCTGCATACAATATAGCAGTAGCAAGCATAATTAGTTATTTAAAATAGTCAAATATGAATGTGAATTTTTGTGAAGTTATCTTTTTGACAACCTTTTTACAGACATGCAGATTCTCAAATTAGTGCTCTATTTTCTAAACCTAATTCAAAGTTTGCATTGATTTTCTGACAATCACATTTGTAATATTTAATAATAATGCTGGTGGTTAATTTACCTTGTTGGTCATTTAATATCCCACTGGTGTCCTCTGGTTGTGGGCTGTCAGACGGGGGGCTGCGTCGGTTCTGGGCTCTCGGTTGTCTGCAGGAGATCCAACAAAGCCTCTGCACATTCTGATTGTCTTTGTTGGTCTTCCTTGAGCTCCATCCTCTGCTCTCGTCGAAGAGATGCCTCTGATCTGGGCTTACTTGTTGTGTGGTAACCGAGGCTAACAGTGGGAGCCCAGTCTACCGACTCAACGTCACCCAAAGCGCTAGGGCACCCTAAAAAGTCCCAACAAAGTCCATATTAGACTACAGGTAACTTAAACATGATCAGTATTACTAAGTAAATACGCATTTAACCACAACCCAATAATACCTAAACAAAGCCACAAAAACCAAGTTAGCTAATACCTCTGATGAAGTGGTCGCTGCAGACCCGTGCATTAGACGACACTGCTCCTCCCGACCGCAGATGTAGGTTTGAAAGCCATTTTTTCCGGCGTTCTTCGGTTAGCTTCTTAAATTGCTCAGCTTTATGGACGACAACCTTCGGCACTCGGTAAAACCTCTTGTTTTTCTCTCGTCCGGATCGATTGGAACAACCGTAAACTACACAACACACCGGCATTTTCACAATGGTAACAGCAGCTAGATCCTCTGTAGAAAATTACTTCCTGACCTCCAATGGAATTTCGCGCCAAAGGAACGCAACGGTGTGACGTCACCTGAAACCAAGCTATTGACTTCAGTATTGAGCTGAGTTACGAACTTGAATATTGACCCTGTCCAACTTTGCTAAGGAATCGAACACATTTTCAAAAAACGGCAGCTTTGAAAATAAAGTATAAGAAGAGGTGAGAGACTGAGGGGGTAGCAATGTGCTGGGTTTGAAAAATAAAATAACTGAGATGTGGAAAGATTAAAAGATTGAGAAATAGAAGAGGAGAAAAATAGGATTGTCAGTAATAGAAGAGGGGGATACCAGCAGAGAAAGTGTCTTTACTCTCCGCCTGAGAGAGTAATCGATCGCAAGCTCCCAGGATCCTTAGTTGCCCCTCAGACTGGATGACCATCGCTGAATAGCGCTGAGAGAAACAGATAGAGGAGGAGAGCAAAGATACTTTATAGAAATACCTGAAAGAGAGAAAGATGGACTTAAAGAAAGGTGTAAAAAAAACAAAAACCAATAGACCCAGTAATGGAGAGATTTGGTGCCAGCAGACATCTTATTTATAAAGTGTGAAAGAGTAAAACTGGTCAAATGAGAGAGAGATATCAAAAATGTTTCCACACAGTTGCCTCTTTCAAAACCAATTAATTATCCCTCATTAGCACTGAGACTTAATTACTCAGAACTCATGTCTGCCAACAAGTTGCATTTGGCAGCACTTCATCCTGCTTTTATGAGGCAAAAATGGATGCACATGATTTAATTCTCATCAAACAGCGTGTTGGCTTTAAAGGGGGCGGTTATTGGCTCTTGCAGCGATAGCAAACAAAGAAGAGTAGCTCTTCATCTTTGGCTTCATGAGATACAGTATGTAGCCCATCAGGCTTAAGGCTGAAAACACAAGCACATACATCATGTACATACAACTTATGTTTACGCAGATATCTTTTGTTCTTACCTGTTTTAAACTTGCTTTCTAACAGAAGTTGGATTCCTTTGTGATCATGGGTAAGTTACCCATAAGACCTCTCTCTGCGTTGGTTTGCAGCAGCAGTTTGCATAAGCCGGCTTTTTGGCTGCAAACTGTTCTGCGTTGAAACAAAGAAGTGTGGTTGTGCTTGGGTTGAGGCTGCTGCATCAGGCACTGGTAAGCCGTGAAATACAATTCAAGAAGTCCAGTTTGTCTATTAGATCTATGAGCATTCAGACTTATCAGAAACCAAAGCTCTAGTGAAGGCCTGGGACAGGTTTTGACAACTCTGGAAAGATATGAGCTGTGTGACCGGCGGTTCATGTTCACGCTAAAAAGTTATTTCAAGTTGACATCAAGTAGCAGTTAGAAAACTCTCCCCATTGCGGAAAAGAAGCCCAGTCTTCAGCATTATAGGCGGAGATACCGTCATGTCATGATACTTTCATGGCTCGTGCGTGGTATGGCTTTTGACTTTCCTGAGCAAAGGTTGAGTCACTTTGAACCCGATGGCCTTTGCGTTTGCTTACACAGACTGTCCTCATTGGAATGAAAGAAAAGCCTGGCACTGACAAATATGGTCAGAATATGGACAAATCCTATTGACACACACACCACGAGTCAAAGCTTGTGTGCTTGATTCTTTTATTATTGACCTCAGTCCTGACAATTGCACTGCTATAATGCATATCTTAATAATAGTCATAAAACGTTGTTTGAACTGAAGATTGTGTGCTAGCGAACAATTTAGGATTTAACTCAATATACTCCAGATTGATTGTTCATTATTAGCAGTAACTAAACTCTGTATAAGGGCGTGTGTCGTAACCTGTTGTACCCGCCTTCCAAATACCTTTCACTGAGGGCCACATACAGAAAAATATACGAAGGACTGGGCCCCTCACTAGAGGTGAGGTATACTGCCTCATAAGTTAAGTTAGCAAGTTAGCAAAATCAATCAAATGTGGGTAAATTATTTTTGATACTTCAAAATGCTTCTTTTTTTTTTAAACAGTTCTCATAGGGTTCATTTATTGTGTTGGCAGCTCATTCTTTAAAACAGAAGCCTCAGATTTCTTATAATATGAGGAAATATGAAGGGTATATTTTAAGCTTGTTATTGGGCTTTTTTTCAACTTTGTCAGAGACTTGAAGCTTTGTTATTTGTTAAAATGTTTTGAACTTGAATTGACTGCATTTATTAAAGTGGGCTTACTAACACATTAATTCTGTGTAATGTATTTTTAAGTATATATTATATTTAAGTACAATATAAGACAAGCACAAGTTTCATTTGTGGGCCATGTTTCATTATACTTTTTGAATTTGCTGAGGGACGATTAAAAAATGGTGTCGGAGGAAAATCTCGGACTAGGCAAGTTGAAAAAGTCCGGACCTCCCTCCCAACATTATCACTTATTAACTTTCTTCGTGATTTACAATTCTAATGGGTTCTCAAGAAATCGCTGGAGACAGACAGAGTTTGGTGCAATAGAACTTTTATTACGTCAAAAGACATAAATCAAAGAGCGAGCAGACCCCGGGATCATACTGCTGAACAAACGTTGTACTCGCACCTTTATAGCTAGCCTTCTCGTCCCTTATTGGTTGACCCTGGTGAAGTTTCTTTGTCAGCAACTTCTTCTGCAGACATTTACATTTACCTAAACTTCTGCACACGTGACCGTAACTTTTTCTGCAGACGTTTGCATTTATACTTCCGTACACGTGCCCTGGAAGCGTTCCGTCACATTGACTGCTTCTTGACCTTCACCAAAGTTCACTACAAAGTGAGGGGAGTTTTACCACTGGTCTCTTTCGCAGTTGTAACCTCACATCTCATTAGCCTCAGGC